CCTAGCCCCGGGGGCTCCCAGGACATACCCAACCATTTCACATAATGCTACTGCCCCAGGAGATGGGGACACTGGAAATACCATGCACCAAAGATCGCACCCTGTTGGGAATGAGGAAAACCCCTTTCTTCAAATCTTGAGGCATGCATATCTGCTTCTCAACTCCTCTGACCCATCCAAAGCATCCACCTGCTGGCTCTGTTATGACACCCCCCCCCTTTACAAGGGGATTGCAACAACAGGAAGCTATGACATTCGGGAGAACTTCCAGAAATGTAGATGGTAGTCCAAGGCTTCCCTGACCTTGCAACAGGTCGCGGGCAGGGGCCTATGTGTAGGTAATCTGCCACAGGTCCTCCAAGACCTCTGTAATCATACTGAGGCCCCCAGTAATACCACCGGGTTCCTCGTACTGGGGAATGATACTTGGTGGGCTTGCAGTACGGGCCTGACCCCATGTGTCAATTTACAAGTCCTTAACTTCAGTAAGGACTACTGTGTCATGGTCCACCTGGTTCCTCAACTCATTTATCACTCAGATGAGGCTCTTCTGGATTCCCTTGAGGGGACACTCTCACAGGTCAGGTGGGAGCCTGTCTCAGTCCTCACGCTCAGCCTTATCCTGGGGGCTGGGCTTCTTGGGGCAGGAACTGGGATCACCTCCTTAGCCTGGCAGGGACAGCAATATTCTAACTTTAGGGCCGCTGTTGATGTTGACACTGAGAGACTGGAAAACTCAATTTCCCATTTGCAGGAGTCCCTCTCCTCCCTAGCTGAAATAGTTTTACAAAACCGCAGGGGACTAGGCCTGATTTACTTCCAGCAAGGAGGGTTATGTGTTGCCCTAGGGGAGGGCTGCTTTTATATAGACCTGCTTTTATATAGACCATTCTGGAGAAGTAAAGGACTCGATGGCCAAAGTGTGGGAAGGGCTAGCAAAGAGGAAAAAGACCAGGGAAAACGAACAGGGTTGGTTCAAATCCTGGTTCAGTTATTCCCCCTGGCTGACTACCTTAGTTTCCACCATATTGGGCCCCATACTTGCGGTCATACTCCTGCTATCCTTTGGGCCATGCATCTTGAACTGCCTAGTAAGGTTCATCAAAAATCAAATAAATGATGTGCAGGCATTTACCCTCAGGCTCCAATACTGACCTGTGCCCCACAACCCTTGAGCTGTCATGAGGGAGATCGTTATGATTGTCTTGACTCACTGATTAATGCTTGTCCTTGTTTTGCCAGGTTACAACAGCAGAAGAACCCATGAGACCACTATGACTGCCCCTCCTCTCTATTATAACCCCCCCCCGAAACAAGGCCCCCTCCAGTTGTCCATGTGTAGCTAATTTAAATGGGCTGAGACTAGAATCATTATGGGCTGGCATTATCCATACGGCTGCCCTTAATCATGACGCATTTTTAGCCAAGGATGGGTAAGATGTCCTATGACAAGCACTCCTAAGACAGGACATGCACATGGCCAGGTGCATGGTCCAATGATGGGCAAGTCTTGGTCAGGGGTGACACAACCTAAGACAGGCAAAATGCACAAGATTAGAGGAAGGAGATAGCCATCTCTCCTCAGGGAGCTGTCTATGAGATGGGTAACCCATAAAATAAAGTCAGTCCAGCCTTATAAGATAAAAATAAAAAAAGGGAGATGTGGGAGCCTGTGACCGACCCTGCAAAGATGACACTGAGAGGAAGCAAGCAGGGTGAGGCTTGATGTGTTTTGAAAACCTCCCGATTGGCTGAAGGACACTTCCCTGTCCCTGGGGGCACGTGATCAGTGTGTGATCATCTTTGATGCCTATGGGACTCTGCCCATGTGGCAGGGTGACCTTTAAGCTGATTGGGTGCATTTGGGGGAGGGGGTTTCCCAGGGGATTTCCAAACTGTGGTTTTTGCCTTTATAGGCTCTGTGACACCTGCAAGTTCCTGCTTGACTAGACTCCCTGTCGCATCTGATTGTCCTCGGCAAGGAGGGCTGGCGAAACAGGTTCACCTTTCCCTGACCCCCATTGCGGCAGATCCCTCCAGGGCAGGACCTTGGGGCGGACCGCACCCCCACCTCCGCAATGTACTTAATCAAAATGATAAGAAAACTAACACACCTCTCAATTCTGAGCTGCCATCAATTTTTGCCTGGAGTACCAGTCTCTCTTTACACCTTTGTGTTTCCAAAATATGTATTTTTTTCTTTTTTAAGAGATGGGGTCTTGCTATGTTGCCCAGGTTGGCCTTGAACTCCTGAGCTCAAATTATTCTCTGGTGTCAGCTTCTGAGTATCTGTCACAGTATGTAACTTCTTTTTTTACTTAAAAAAATAAGTTAAAGGGGCTGGAGAGTTGTCTCAGTGGTTAAGAACACTATTTTTGCAGAAGACCTCGGTTTGATTCCCAGTACCCACACAGCAACTAACAACTGTCTGTATCTCCAGTTCCAGGGGATCCTACAGCCTCTTCTGCCCTCCATTGGGCATTGCATGACACAGGTGCACTTACCTACACGCAGGCATAACACTCATACGCATAAAATAAAACTAAATAAAATATTTTTTAAAAAGAAGTTAAATTCCTCTCAACAGGATCCTCTTCAGATCCTGTGTGATTTGATGCCTATTAGTTATGCATACTCATGCTTCTTGGAGATTCCTTGGTGATCTAGGCATGCTTCTGCCTCACACATAGCCTTTGCACCAGCTATCCTCTCTGCCTAGGGTGCTCCTCCCTTCCTCTTTCCTTGATATTTACTCATCTCCTTTAAGTTTTTGCTGAAATGTGATCTCATAAAACCTTCCCCAACCTTCTCTCATTAAATTTCTGTCTCCTTCCTATACCCACTCCCTAGCTCTATTTCTTTCACTGTATAGGAAAGATGTCACCTTTTAATATGTTGCATAATTTAATTATCTCATTAAATATTTACCTCCTCACTACTAGTAGAATGTAATGTCTCAGGCATAAGGGATTTTGATTTGTTCACTACAATTTTCTCAGCATCTAGAACACTGACTGTCACATAGTGGATACTCAATTTTCTCTATTCCCTACACCTTCCAACTTTTTCTTCCTCTTCTTTTTTATCTGTTTTAAAATATTTGAGATAGTTATCAAATAGTGGTCTTTAGCTCTGTATGAGATATCTAATGAGATAAATGAAAATGAGCTTTGTGAGCAGGTAGATGTTATGTACTGGCGAACTTCAACGTGTGACTAAAATGGTGAGTTGGCATCTGTATGGAGGAAACATGGTATAGAATATAATTAAATGCTTTTCAGTATCATTAAATGTTTCTCTCTGTCATTCCATTTCTCCCAAGAAGAATCCACAAGCCTTCAGCCAGGCAGTATAATAAGCCTGACAGAAATGTGGTTCAGAAGAGGTGTCCACTCTCACTTTCTTTTCTTTTCTTTTCTTTTCTTTTCTTTTCTTTTCTTTTCTTTTCTTTTCTTTTCTATTCTTTTCTTTTCCTTTTCTTTTCTTTTCTCTTTTCTTTCTTTCTTTCTTTTCTTTCTCTTTCTTTCTCTCTCTCTTTTTCTCTTTCTCTCTCCCTCCCTCTCCCCTCCCTCTCCCTCTTTTCCTCTCTCCTTCCTTCCCTCCTTCTTTCCTTCCTTTCTCATTCAGGTGCAAGTGTGTGTTCATACATGTAGAAACCAGAAGACAGACAACCTTGGTTATTCTCTCTCTCTCTCTCTCTCTCTCTCTCTCTCTCTCTCTCTCCTCTCTGAGATAATTTTATAGTCTCACTATACAGCCCTGGCTAGCCTGAAGCTTGCTATGTAGACCAGACTTGCCTCAAACTAACAGAGATCTGCCTGCCTCTGCTCCAACAGTGCTGGGTTTAAAGGTTTGGACTATCACGCCTAGCTTTATATTTTGCTTTTAATGTCAGCAGCTTGAATTCTCTACTTATTTCAAATGTACAATTTCCACTTCTCCTGTGAGTATAAATTACTTCAACCTAAATGGCATTTTCTTTTTTTGTTAAGTCATCAGAACTGCTTAGAGTTAACTTAATAGCTTCCAAGTTTTCTAAGTAAGTCATAGGACAGTATTTAACAAGAAGGCCAAATACAGGTAATACTTTAGCCCAACAAACAACAAAGAAATGAAAGAAAAACAACTTACATTTTACTGGAATCTGAGTTAATAGATAGGGACCAGAGAACAAATAGCAAACAACTGCTTGAGTTACATCAGAACAAAAAGAGAAGTGATGGCCTAGATTTCTAGCCTGAAGCTATTACACAACATTTCTAATAGAACCAACAAGTTACTTATTATCCACCATAAAATGCTCTAGAGGGTTTTAAAACAAAAGAACAACTTGGTGGGAATGTATTTTGCACATAGAGAATGCTTTTGCCAATTGATAACCCCACACCCATGCACATCTGGGCAGCACTAATTGAACTCAGTGGATTATCAAAAAAGAAAACATTTAAGTTTGAAAAGGGACATGTGGAGGGAATACAAGTGGAGTTGGAGGAGAAAACTGGGGGCTGGATGTGCTCATATTTCAATGTATTCATGCTTGACGTTCTCAAGAATAAAGAAAAATTAAAATAATTTTAAAAGATCAAACAACCTACATAAACAGTTCCATTTTGGAAATTATTATTAAACTGCTGTGTTTTTATAACTAAGAGAAATTTGGTCTCTTTTCATGTGTTAGTTGAAATTCATCTATTTGTAGGCAACAGTTTCCCTCTAGGTAACTTTGGTATCTATAAGGCAAAGCTTCAGCTGTAATTTTGTTTTACTGAAATTAAAGTACAAAAATTCTCTGGGTGAACACAAAAATAAAAGGCTGAAATTAGGATATTTTATCCAATACAAATTATTATAAATGGGGGAAATTGACAATATAAGTGTATTGGGATTTGTCCTTGATTTACTTTAGTTTTAGTTTTCCTTCCAGTCAAACTGATTTCCTCATGTTTCTGGATTAAAGCCAGAATCAACTTTGTCCCTGTTTATAATCAAATAATGGAGAAAACGTTTAAAATTTCTGACTTCAGTTGGAAGATCCCGGGAAGCAGAGCGTCTGGACTGACCCTGAGCTGAGTCTCTGATTCATTTTTGACTTGAGGCAAGTTTTTTATGATTCTGCACTTTTAACCTGACTGTAAATAATGCTGGTTTGTTTCATAGGAATTATAGTAATCATAATTCAATACGTGACCATTGACTTTTGAGGGAGTTTGAGTTGATTGGCAAGAAGGCAGCTTCTGAACTTTGGAAAAGAGATTTAGAATTCAATTAGCTTTCATTCTCTTTCTATTTTGAATGAGGTAGATGGGAGTTCAATGTAAAGGGTAGAATTTTCAGTTTCAGTCTACAAAACGAAAAATAGAATAGACTATGTTGTGATTTTGGCATCACACTTTATTTCAGCTATTTGTGGATCAGATATGTTTAACTTCTTTAAGCTTTCATTTAATATAAATTCTTAGTATAAATAGTAAGGATATAGTTATATTGTATTTTCATAAAATGGAGAAAGTTGGAGAAAATGGCCTAGTATGAGTCCCTAAGGCTGTGTTTATGGGTAGAATTTTAACTAGCTATCTACATTAAGGTGGTAGGTCGGTCACTTGTGAACACTAACTTAGGAAACATATTTCGTTCAGTAACTTCTTTTAAAATTTATTCCAGCACTTGGGAGGCAGAGGCAGGTGGATCTCTGTGAGTTCAAGGCCAGCCTGGCGTACATAGTGAGTTCCAGGACAGCTGGGGCTACAGGGAGACCCTGTCTCAAAAAGACCAAAAAAAATTTTTTTTCTCAGGTGGGGTTAGGATTTCCTAGCCACTTCCACACATCTGTGCTGCAGTTGTGTCTGGTTTGAGCTTGCATAGGACTTGTGCATGCTGCCACCATTGCTGTGAGCTCATATGAGTAACTGATCTGCTGTCTGGAAAGCTCTATTTCCTTGTGATCATCCACCACTGCTGGCTCTTACAAACTTTTCACCCCCCCTCTTCTACAATGATAATCTGAGCCTTGGGAGGCAGATTTTTGAAACAGGTATCCTATTATAGGTAAGCGCTCTGCAGCCTCTTATTCTCTGCACATTGGCCAGTTGTGGATCTCCGTGTTAAGGAATCTTTTTTAAGGGTGAGACTCTTTGTAGGTTAACCAGATTCCAGTGGATGGACCCATACCAAAGGGCATTTGACACAAATTTCACTCTAGACTTCCAAATATATTATATAAAAGAAAGTACATGAAATTGGGCAGGGAGTAGTAAAGGGGGGTGTAGATACAGGAGAAGATCTAGATGTAATCATATAGTGTATGAAATTTGTAAATATTCAATTAAAAATTTATTCTATCCTGTATCTTCTCATAATGGTCCATTGAAAATACATATTTTTGAAGGTTTAGATATTACTAACATATAACTAGCTGCATGCCATTAACTTTGTTTTTCTCATTCTGTTTTTAAATTTTAAATCTGTTACATATTAGCCATAGAACATTTTGTTTCCAAAGTTAACATTTTTTCCCTTAAGTTTATTGTAACATAACTTCCTGAACTTTAAAAACATTATTGGGAAGCCCAGTGTGGTGGCATATGCCTTTAGTTCCAGCACTCAGGAGGCAGAGGCAGGCGGATGGATCTCTATGAGTTCAAGGCCAGCCTGGGGCTACATGGAGACCTTGTCTCAAGAAGACCAATATTTATTAGTACATGAAATTGGGCAGAGAGTAATAAAGGGAGTGCAGATAAAGGAAGAGATCTCCTAATATATATATTAGTGGGAAACTGGACATGATGGGACACACCTGTAATCCTAGCATTTGGGAGATAGAAGCAGGAGGGTTATTGCAAGCATGAGGCCAGCCTGGCCTACACTGGAACTTCTAGGCCAACCAGATCTATATAGTGAGATCCTGCCTGAAAAATATGATCCTGGCCAATTATGGTGGTACACACCTTTAGTCCTAGTACTTAGGAGGCAGAAGCAGGTGAATCTCTGTGAGTTTGAGGCCAGCCTGGTCTACATAGTGAGCTGCAGGCCAGTCAGGGCTGCATAGTGAGACTCTGTCTCAAAAAAACCCAAACCAAACAAAAATGGCCCATTGAACTTTTATTTCTCAGAACTATGAGCTAATACACTGTTGTTTGAAGCCTCCCGTTTTGTGGTAATTCACTATAGCATCCCTAAGAAACAAATAGAATAATGTTACTGCAATTGGGGCCTACACCAAGTATTTCCTGGTTATTGTCATCTTATTCCAGAATGAAATAAAGGTATACACAGATTGCAAGAATAGCAAGGCAATTCTTTTCAAAGCGAAGTAGTAGAACAGGTCAGATATACTGTCAGAAGTGAGGAGGGCCATGTCAGTGAAAAAGTACACAGGGCCTCAGGTTACTGCCTAAGGCTTCTTTAAAGAAGCAACTGGTTGCTAAGGGGTATTGTTTTGGCTGTTCTCTATTGTGATTTACAGATTTTAATTATATAACCCTTTTTCCTATTACCATAATGCATCTGATTTTAATCATATGATGCCCAATTGTGCATAGGCATAAGATGGTAAATTGGGAATTCCCTCTAAAAGTTCACTTAAAGGACACAGTTTACCTTGTTGTGCATGCACCCAAAACTAGGTTGGCCCATTATCCATAGCTCCTGGATGTTTTTCAGGATGTGCTTATATGGAAACAGGGTGTTTTCAAGGGGTTACTAAGGAGAATAACCTATTTCCATTGTTTAAAGAGGGTATACATGCATCTTTATGTACGTATGGGTCCTAGATCATGAAAGAGATGCTAAATGCATTGTCAGAAGAAGGGTGTGTGTACATAGTACATGCAGGTAAGGATCTCAGACTGCCAGGTATATTATTAGAAGAGGAGTGTATGGCTAGCCTAACCCAGTGGAGTCCTGAGGTTGATAAACTCCTATGCTTGCCTGCCTCAGTAGTACCTAACTACCCACCCACCGAGCATTAGAACACAGTAGCACAGAAAACAGATCAATTTTTTAAAATGTGTGTGGGTGTTTTGCCTGCATGCACATAAGTGCACCTGTATCATGCAATGCCTGTGAAGGCCAGAAGACGGTGTCCAACCCCCTGGAACTGGCGTTATAGACTGTTAGCTGCCCTGTGTGTGCTGGTGAACCCAGGTCCTCTGCAAGAGCAGCCAGTACTGTTAACTGCTGAGCCAACTCTCCAGCTCCAACAGACAAACTTTTCACCTTGAAGTACAAACATTATCAATGGAAGATAGGTGGGAAAACAGTAAACATGCAGATAGTATCTCATTATATTTGGTGATGATTAATAAGGAGAACTTTAACCCATTCTAACAGAGATGTGGATTGCCACTTTATATATGGAAGTCAGGGTAGGTGTTTCTAGCAGGGGATATTTGAGCAAATACCTGAAGGATAGTAAGGAGCAAACTGTAGAGAGCTTTAGGAGAGCACACCAGGCAGAAGGAGCAGGAAGTATAATCACACTGATAAGTATGTGTAGACTATTGTGTCCAACAAATGCCAAAGAGGCCACTGTGGCCAGAGCAAAAGGGCTTGGGGAGAGTGGAGGGAGAGATGTGTAGAGGTGGATGTCATAGTTCGTTTTCCATTGCTATTAGGTAAATATAAACTGGAGAATTTATAAAGAAGTTTGTGCAGCTATGGTTCTCAAGGATAGGTAGACCAAAACAGCACTGACATATGCTTAACTTTTTTTTTTTTTTTTGAGACAGGGTCTCCCTGTAGCCCCAGCTGGCCTGGAACTCATTATGTAGAACTGGCTGGCCTTGAACTCACAGAGATCCGCCTGCCTCTGCCTCCCGAGTGCTGGAACTAAAGGCATGTGCCACCACGCCTGGCAAATGCTTAATTTCTTTTTGACCCATAGCATGGCAGAGGGAATCACATAATGAAGCAGAGCACGTATGCTACATGGAGCTTGCTTTCATAACAAAGGCATTCCCTTGACAGCTCATAATCCTAAATGAGTTGATACACTCATGAGAGTACAGCTCTCATAACCCAATCACTTCCCAAGTTTCCAGCTTTGAAAACTGTGAATGCAGTTCAGGATTAAGTTTCAACACAGGAAATTTGGAAGATACATTTAAACCATAACAATGGGTGATCATATAATATAACCTAGTTTGCCTAGAGACAATACAGTTTAGAATGTGGTCCCAGTATAATTCTTAAAGAAATATTTGAGTGTGGGACATTAAAATCTTCCAATTGTAACTCTCATCAAAAGGTAGCAACTTGATGTGAGAAGCAGCTGAATGCAGTGTAAAATTTGAATGTTGAATCTTTTCTCTGGAAAGTTACTTTTCTCTCTTTTAACTTTATTTAATTAAAAGTAATTGTGTTGTTTCTTTTCCACATTCTTCCTGAAGACTAGTTTATGGAATAACCATGAGATTTCATGTATCGCCCGTGCATTAGCATTTTTTACATATTTTAAATGGGAGACATACTAATGTATTAACAGATGGCCATATTCAGAAAAAAGGGCAGCATTCGTATAAGAACAGGATATTGCTAAAGATTTTTCTATCACATTAAATAGGTCATGAGTACTTTATCTAAATTATTTGTTTTTAAAGTGAGATTTGTATTTTTATGGATCTTTTGAGATTTTTCATACAATATAGTTTTATGGCATTTAGATCCTCTCCTCTCTCTGCACCTGTCCCTACTGCCCTCTGCCCAATTTAATGAACTCTTATATATATATTACATATGATTATATATGAATTATATATATCACATATATATGGAAATATATGGCATGTAGAGTATGATTTCTGTCCCCCAATGTCTTTCACTTCAAGTATGCTCACTAACATATTAAGAAAGAAGCACCTAGTGGCTGGTGAGATGGTTTAATGGGTAAGGGGCTTGCTTCTAAGCCTGATGACCAGAGGGGTTTTAAAAAATATATATGTATATATAGTATATATATTTTATTTTTTATTTTATGTTTTTCTTGCATATGTATAAGTGCACCAATGTCACACAATGCCCTTGGAGGCCAGAAGAAGGCATCAGATCTCCAGGGGCTGCAGTTAGAGATGGTTGTAAGGCACCATGTGGGTATTGGGAAACAAACCCCAGTCCTTTACAAGAGCAGCCAGTGCTCTTAACTGCTGAGTCATCCCTCCAAGCCCCTTGAGTTTCTTTTTGAGACTGGGTTCATGTGGATAGATAGCGCAGCTGGGTGTAGTGGCGCACGCCTTTGATCCCAACCCCACCCCCACCCCCACAAAAAGAAAAAAAAATAGCCCAGAATAACCTTGAACTCTTGATCCTTCTAAATACTGGGATGGTGGCTTGAATGATAATATCTTCCATAGGCTCCAAGGATTTGATGATATTTTTCCCAGTTAGTGGTGCTGTTTATAAGAAAGTACTGCTTTCTTCAAAAGGAAAAATGCACTGATGAGAGCAAAGTTGTTCCAGAGGAACAAACAGACTTAAACAAAAACTGCTATTTATTTATTTATTTATTTATTCTTTTTGAGTCAGTCTTTCTATAGCCCCAGCTGGCCTGGAACTCACTAAGTAGAGCAGACTGGCTTCTATCTCACAAAGATCCGCCTGCCTCTGCCTCCTGAATGCTGGGATTAAAGGCATTCACCACCATGCTTGGGTCTTTTTCTTTTTTTACTCTGTGTATTGGGGTGGGGGCTACCACATTGGAGCCAGAGGGGAACATAAGATGTCCTGCTTGTCTTTGGTTGTGAGCCTAGGCTTTTAACAGCTATACCATCTCTCCAGCCTGGGTGTCCTGAAGCTGCCTCAGGGTCTCTCACTGACCCTGGAGCCAGGCTGGCAGCCAGCAAGCCCCATCAACCCTGACTCTGACTCCCACAGTCTTGGACTTACGGGCATGCACAACCAAACAGGCTTTTTATGTGGGCTCTGGGGATTTGAACTCAGGTCCTCACTCTTGCACAGCAAGAACTCTTACCTGCTGCACCATCTTCCCACCCATACAATCAGTTTTCTACAGATCTTTATGATGATGCTATTTAGCTCTTCCAGTGAGGTACTTGTGTTCTCTTGCCTAGACTACCATGGCAGTAATATGGAGGCTGGCTGCTTGGCTATAGGGATACAGTAACCTAGGGGATGCCTTCATGTTTTGCAACCTGGTATCGTCCCTGATCTCGAGCTACAACTGCCAGAATACTTGAAGACTTTCTGATTCATTTTCAATAGAAGGTAGGCCTTTCATAGTTTAGTGGCTAGGGAGAAGCAGAAGTCACCTGACTGCTCAGGATTTAGGCAGTGATTGAATATGAGCCCAGGAGACTCCATCCTATCTTCCAAACCAGTTGGTGCCTCCAATTCTGCCCAGCTGTGAGGTGCTGCCTTGTTTCTTGAGCTGTTCCCAGGGCTGTTGCTTTCTCCTCAGGAGCAAGTGTGCTAATGCTCCTGTACGCTTTTCTGTCCTCTACACTTGTTGACATCACGTACCTGGTATCATTTCTCCTTTTCACTTCAACATTATCAATTCATGTCTTTCACCTTTTTCTTTATTCTTTTCTTTTGGAGTTTTGTGAGAAAGAAAAAAGTACTCATGTTTTAATTCAACACAAAGTTGACTCTTTATGGAAGCCAGAGGGAGGACTGGAGAGCTGGGTCAGCGGTTAAGAGCACTGGCTGCTCTTGCATGGAGGTGGGGGGGGGGAGGGAAGGGGTGGTGGGAGGGGGGGTTCAATTCTCGGCACTCACATGGCAGCTAACAACCTTCCATAACTCTAGTTCCAGGGAAATCCGATGCCCTCTTCTGACCTCTGAGAGCACTGCATGACAGGAGTGCACTTACATACATGCAGGCGATACACTCATATACAAAAAAACAAAATTAATTCATTAAATTAAATTAAAATTTTTTTAAAGAAATGGAAGCCAGGTATGGGAAGTAGAAGTTGGATGGTCATGGACTGAACTCAGCTTGGGCTGCCTTGTTTGCTAAGGAACCTGTAATAAAACTTTGTTTAAAAAAAATCTCAACTCCCACCCTATATATTTGCCTCTGCTCATATGACTGTAGAAGGAATTTCCTTTAGTGGTCTTAGTGCATGTAAGACCTGTGCCGATAGTCACATTGGCTGTAACTTACATCCATCAATACTGTAGTGGTTAAAGAACAGGGAGGGCATATTTATAAATTCTGTAAAGGGATTCAACTTGGGGCTTGAGTTCTTTGGGAGGGAACTCCTCTCAGGTTGATAACGGGAATAAAGTTTTCTGATTTAAAAAGAAGGTTTTCCTGATTTCTACATGTGAGTCTCTTGGTGACGTCTCTGTGTGTGGCTGGTCCTGTGCCTCAGTTTTCCTTTAACAGTAAAGTTATAGGAATGTAACTTCCATTTTAACTTAAAGAAAGGCTTAACATTTTACATTATCATGTTTACTTGCATAGATATTATGATATTAAGAGAAACAGTGCATAGCAACTTCCTATTATAAGTTTCATCTTTTAAAAATAAACAGTCTTGTTGGTCATGATGGTACACACCTTTAGTCTCAGGCACTCGAGAGGCAGAGGCAGGTGGATCTCTATGAGATCAAGGCCAGCCTGGTCTCCATAGTGAATCCAGGCCAACTGGGACTGCAGGGAGACCCTGTTTCAAAGGGACCAAAATTAATTAATTAATTAAGTTATCTTCCATTACAAGACTACTATTCTACATCATCAATTAGTATTCATTTAGCACATACATGCCAAGATATCTAAAAATGTGTTATCTCAGTGTTTCCGCAGCCCTGAAATAGGATTTATTATCCCCATTTTACAGATCGGGAACTCCTTAGCAATTTTCCATAAAGTTGCCTAAACTGGAAACAGGCTCAGCCAAAATATGGTCCCAGGTCCTTCTGCTTAGAGAGCCTCTCCTTTTCTATACTGTCTTGCAAACGGCATATTAGAACCTTTGATAAAATGAACTCCTTTTTGTGCTGTTAGTGAACAGATTCAATTATTTCTAAAGTTTGGTGGTTTTGAGTCCTATCACTTTGTATGGCAGAAGACTGGCTCCAAGTATGGAGAATTTTCTGGGTGACCCTCAGGTATTCTGGAGTTTCATCAGTCCCCCAATATACTCAAGTCTGGTCCCATGGGAACGTTGATAAGTTCTCTAACTTCTTTATTATTTTTTTCTTATAGTTTTTTTTTTCCAGTGGGAAAAATGGTGAAGATTCTCAGCTTCGTCTTTATCACCATCACTCTGATAATTGGCAGGGAAAGCTGGGTAAGCTTAATGTGCAAACAATTGTATTTAAACTGCCTGCTTTGATAGGCCTTTCTTTTAATTTGCAGAAAAACTATATTAATGTGTTTACTGGGACAAAGAAACCTATTTAACTAAGGGTGGAGAGTGTGCAAAAGCTTTGTAAGAAACACGTGGTACATAGCAGCACTTAACCAAACGCTCAAAAAAATTTTACAGTAAAAATCAGCATTAACACATAAGCAAAACATGTTTAAGTTCAGCTGGCAGTGAGGTGCACATCTTTATTCCCAGCAGTTGGGAGGCAGAGGCAGGCCTCTGTCAGTTCAAGGCCAACCTGGTCTACACAGTGAGTTCCAGGTAAGCTCACCATGTTATTTCTTCACATGATACCAGGAATTTAAAATTCGTAATAATCAATATTGACCTTGGGCCGATATTGAACCGCTGTTGGTATATATTACTTAGAAGATCTGTAGGTGATTACAATAAACTCATCATCATCCATGAGTCTAAAAGGACAAAATGCCAACTTACTCAAAGTTCTGGGAAAAAGAAAACCACTTTCTGGTCAAAATAGTATTCTGAGGTACAAGTGGGAGACAAAATTGAATTATGTATTTATGCAGATTGTTGGTAACATTTATTTTCCATGACAATGAGATGCTCATTGCTTCGCAGGCCTTCGAGAGCTGTTTGCAGGAGCAGATGCGACTTAGAGCTCAGGTGCGCCAGTTGCAGACCCGGGTCAAACAGCAACAGATCACAATCACACAACTTCTGCAGGAAAAGGAGATCCAGTTCTTAGATAAAGGACAGGAGAGCAATGCTATTGACCTTGGAGGCAAGAGGCAGTATGCAGGTCAGAATTGATTTTTTCTTAAATGTTTCGACCATTGACATCACACATCCATGCGCAGTGATGGTGCTAGGTGCTCAGTGACCTCAGGCTTTTCATTGGTTCAGTATTGTTTTTTTTTTTTTTTTTTGCTTTGTTTTTCTTTTTTTCCAGAGACGGTCTCACTGCATATCCTAGGCTGTCCTGAAACTTACCATCTTTCTGCCTCAGTCTCCCTAAGTGCTAAGTTTACAGGTGTGCCCCACCATCTTCAGCTAACTTCAGATCTTGTTAAAGAGCTTTTCCTATTCCAGTCACAAGCAGTATGAATCATTACATCAATTTAAAACATCTTTCCCCATATTTTACTCCTTCTCTATGTGTGCAGGGGATATTTAATATAAATGGTAAATATCTGAGAATTTTTGTATCTTAAATATTTGAGCATAAAGGCAGATTATAACTGTGAATTTTATACATGAACTTTGTTTTTATTGTGTGTTTTTTCTCCTTATATTTATGTAGTCTTTCCTTCTGTTTGTTTTGCTTTTATTTTAAATTTTAAAAAATTAAATTAATTTTTCTATGTGTGTGAGTGTCTTGCCTGTATGTGTGTGAACCCATGTTGTATAGTGCCCACAGAAGTCAGAAGAGGGCATCAGATCCCCTGGAGTTACTAGCTGCCATGTGAGTGCTGGGAACTGAACCTGGGACCTCTGGAAGAGCAGCCAGTGCTTTTAACCACTGAGCCATCTCTCCAACCCCTTATTTATTTTATTTTAAACTGAGTCTCTATGTTACCTAGTCTAGTCTTATACTTCACAGTGCAAGCAATCTTTCTGCCTCAGCTTCCTGAATAGCTAAAACTATAGATGTGTGCTATCACATCCAGACATCCTTTCTGAAATCCTGGGGTGGCAAATAAATTAATAAAACAAAAGGGTAAGAAAAGAAAAATGATCTCATTTTTTAAAGGAAAGTAAGAGTAGTCTTAAAATACACACACACACACACACACACACACATATATATATGTTATTTTGTTGTTGTTGTTGTTGATTTTGGTTTTTGTTTGGTTGGTTATTTGATCTTCTTTTTGAGACAGGGTCTCTCTGCAGTCCCAGCTGTCCTGGAACTCACTATGTAGACCAGGCTGGCCTTTAACTCACAGAGATCCACCTGCCTCTTCCTCCTGAGTGCTGGGATTAAAGGCGTGCACCATTTTATGTCTTGGAATTTTTCCTTTTGGTTAGGCCAACATTCATCTCCTAGAAATGAAATTATCTTGAACTATAAGCACAGTACAAATGTCGCTGCACACATCCTTAGTATCTACACAAAACTGTGCATTTGACATTGTGACAACATGAAAGGCTGCTTTCAGAGTAGACAGACAGTGATAGAAAAAAAGAGAATGTTGTCTAGAACACCTTGTTCTCAATCTACTCCTGATACCTTTAATTGCTCTGCTTATGAGTCTAACTTGATCAATTAAGTGATTACTAGGTAAGGCTTGGGATGATAGTCAGTGTATTTTATCTCCCTATTGACTATTAGATTTGTAAAAGATTTACTTCTAAAAAATATTTTATTTTTATTTTATGCATATGAGTGTATTGCCTGCATGTATGTGAGTGCACCGTGTTGTGCAATACCATGGAGGTCAGAAGAGGGCTTCAGATTTCCCTGGAACTGGAGTCAAGGATGATTTGTAGCCGCCATGTGGGTGCTGGGAATCAAACCCAGGTCCTCTCCAAGAGCAGTCAGTGCTTTTAGTTGCTGAGCCATCTCTCCAGCCCCAAGATTTATCTTTTTAATTATGTGTATATGTGTCTGTGTATGAGTATGTGCACATGAGTATTGATGACTGCATAGGGCAGAGGTGTTGGATTCCTTGGAGTTGGAATTACAGGGGGCTGTGAGCTGGGAATTGAACTCTGGCCCTCTGGAAGAGTAGTATGTACTCTTTACAACTCTGCCATCTCTCCAGCCCTATCAGAATGTTTAAAGCACAGTTGATTTTCATGTTTACAGGTAAAAGAGATAGGAATAGCAAGACAGACAAATACAAATTGAGAAAATTATCTGAATATAATCAAAAGACAGATGTTGAAGAGATGCCAGCCTGTAGGAATAAAAACATCTTCATTTTGTGCTTCTAAATATACTCACTAGTGTAGTGTGTTAGGTACTTTTTTCATTTCAGTGGCAAAAATACTGTGACCAAAAAAATGAAGCAATGTAAGGAAGGAGGGATTTATTTTGGCTTACAGTTTGAGGGGATACATCCTGTCATAGCAGCAAATGACCTTCTGGTCATTTGTGCTGGCAGTCAGAAAGCAGAGAGTGAACACAAAGTGGAGTCAGTCTATTAAACTTCAGGACTTGCCCTCAGAGTCCCACTTCCTCCAGCATAGCTCCTCCTCCTAAAGGTTCCACAATCTTCCCAAGCAGTGCCACTATTTGGGGACCAAGTGTTCAAATACATAAACCTATGGAAGTATTTCACATTTAAATCACATGTAGGATTCAGAGTTCTGAGAACTATAGAATTTACATTTCAATAAAATATCCCTTTTCTTAAAAATATTTTTCGATTTATTTATTCTTTATGTGTATGAGTGTTATGCCTGCATGTGTTTAAGTGCACCTATGTCGTGCAATGCCTGCAGAGGACAGATGAGGGTGTCAGAACCCATGGAATTGGAGTTAGGGGTGATTGTTAGCTGCCACGTGGGTGCTTGGATTTGAACCCAGGTCTTCTGCAAGAGCAGCCAGTGCTCTTAACCACTGAGCCATCTCTCCAGCCCCTCAGATCCCAATTTCTTTATGTCCAAACTGCTAGTCCTGGGTGCCTCAGCTTCTATTGCCTGGCATCTTGACCTTTAGACCCTCAATGTTTCTTCTTCTTTACTCTAGGGCTCAAAGAAGGCCAGAGCCACTGTCATGCAGTAGAAAGGACGGATTTAAAGGCAAGGATCACTGGGCTCTGGAACATGTAGCAATGAAGAACAGAGGACAACTCAGGTTAAAAGCAGGCCAAGGGACAAAAGGGACAGTCTGGAGCAGTTCTGGGGGCAAAGGAACAGAAATTGCAACACAAAAAGAAAAGTAAAGAGACTATTGGGTGAGGCAATGAAAGAAGGGCCAGGGCAACATCCAGAGGAAGCAGAATCAGTAGATATTCTTGGAAGACAGTGATTCTCATCCATGGCTAATCATTCAAAGTACCTGGTAATCTTCTAAAGTGCTGGTGCATATCAAAAACTATGAAGGGGGTGGGGTGGTGCCTGGAGAGATGGCACAGTGGTTAAGAACACTCTTTTCTCTTCCAGAGGTCCAGGGTTTGGTTTCTAGCACTCATACTCATACAGTGGCTAACAACCAACCCTCTGTAACTCTAGTTTCAGGAGATCTAATGTCCTCTTCTGGCCTTTGTGGACACTGCATGCACATGGTATGCTTACATACACACAGGCAAAGCACTCATACACATAAAATAAATATAAACTTTAAAAAAGTTTTAAAAACTAAAAGGCTTGAGATTTTACTCAGTTTGCAAGCTAACAAGTTTCCCTGCATGGACTGTAGCAGAAGGCATTATACTCCTTAGTCAGAGACCATGAACTTTAAGTTTACGTAAAGGACATTAGTTCTTTGTCCTTACATACCAAGAGCCCAGGCTGGGGGGATGGGGTGGGGGGATGGTAGGGGCTGGATAATGGAACTATGGTCACAACTGGAAACACTATGATTTAGAAACTCCAGTATTCTATAATGAGTTTTAAAAGTGTCGCATCTTCACCCCAGAGGTAGATGTTATCTTTATTTTAGCAGACAGCAAAAAACTACTGTCTATCATGCAACTATTCTTTAAAATATAGTCCAGAACATAAACTGAGATTTAAGTGATCAATGGCGAATTACCTATGAACATTGCCTACTAGATTCCACTCCAGACCAATTAATGAAACATCACTGCAGACAGGAAAAAAAAATTGTGCACTTTCTGTTGGTTATGGGTGAAATTGTTAAAGACCGGAACCATACTTCACACAGGCTGAGGTGGGTCAAGACTGCTTGGTATCACTAAGTAGGCTTTCCATCATTTAGGGTGGAAATGGGTACCCTTCATGGTACGATTTTTGGTTGTTGAAGTTTGGGGCTTGACTGTAATGTGGTCAGGTATCTATCCAGGAACTTTAGTTTCCTATCCTGAGACCATGGGACATGTCAGTAAGACATAGGTTAGAAGGCAGACTCTCATCAAGGAATTGGATCAGTGACTGTGGATGAGTCACAAGGGCTGTTCACAGAGAATTTTGGGTCCCTCCAAACTTGTGTTTCAAAGCTGTAACCCTGGTAACTATATGTGTGATTCTATTTGGATGTAGGGACTTTTCTTTTTGAGACAGAGTCTCCCTGTAGCTTCAGCTGGCCTGAAACTCACTATGTAGATGAGACTGGCCTCAAATTCACGAAGATCTGTCTGCCTCTGCCTGTAGGGGCCTTAAAAAATGATCAAGTAAAAAGCAGGTCATTAGGGTGAGGCCAAATCCCATAGGACAGATGTCTTTATAAGAAGGTAAAATTTAGGCTGGGTGTGGTGGTTCATGCCTTTGGTCCTAGCACTCAGGAGGCAGAAGCAGGTGGATCTCTGTGAGATTGAGTCCAGTCTAGTCTACATAGAGTTCCAGGCCAGCTGGGGCTAGGGAGCCCCTGTCTCAACAAAACAAAACAAAATATCTCCCCACAAATAAAAACAAAAAAGTGTCCATATCATTAGAATAACATACTTTTTGGCACTTATGGGGCAATGAAAGATGTAATCCAACACGATCTTTCTCGGGAGCATTTGAGGATTGGCAGAGGATCCTGAAAAAACAGCCCAGCCCACAGGACAGTGGAGTATGCCTTACTAAACAAGGCCTGTACTATGGTTTGCTGTGGTGTTCCGTATGGAGAATGATATACAGTAGCTATGGTTTTGGTTTTAAATAAGTGAGTTTATTGGGTAAGTGAAA